TTTATTGAATATACTTCCCAAAATTCAAATATTGTAAAATATCAGAAGCAATGATATTGTTGCCATATTAGTTTCTATTAAATTTATGCATAAATATTGTCTTAAAACTTAGATGTCTTTTTGTTTTCTTTTTTTTTTTCTTTTTTTTTAACTTTCCTAATTTCGTATCCAGGACGCCGATCACCTCTGTTTCTCTCTCCCCTTCATGCTTTCCAATGAAAATATTTGTTTTCATTTTATACTTGTTTTTTATTGGTTAGCTTTTAATATTTTCAGCTAGAAATGAATAAAACGTAATTTATTATTCTTATTACCATCATTGACATTTTATTGATTTAACTACTAACGATGTTTAAACAGTTGAGCTGACCGGTGATGTACGAACTCTGTACCTTGTTTTATTTTTATCCTGATTTTACGAGCTATTTAAACAGCCTTCAAAAACTACATTCAGTGTCTGTTTTATTTATTCATTCATTTTCTATGCAGTTTTTCTTTGTTCATTTTCCATTTTGATATGTATTTTCCGCTTCTCATGCTGTTGTTTTTCGGGGGATTTTGTACTGCTAATATTTCAATTTGTTGGGGGTTTTTTTTGTTTTTAGAAAAGTTAAAAATATACTCGTTATTATTTCAAACATAAGTAAATTAATGTTCACGATTTTTTTATGAGCGTCCACTTTTTCAATCTATTTTTGCTAGTAGATTTTTAAAACTTTAATTTTTTTTAGTTTTACTATAAAATTAAAATTTAACACTACTTTTTTAAAATGATCTCTAGAGACATTTGCAGCCTCATCCTCTTTCAATTCACTCACTGTCTGTCGTAAATATTCATTGTTAAGGTCAGGAATAAGTAAACAAAAATGTACTCATTACGACGAATAGTAATGCATTACGATTAAAAATGTTTAATGATTTTCTTTCCGCGTCGTGTGTGTGTATGTTAATTCGCCTTGAGATTACATTTTTAGGTCTAGGATTTAATTAAAAGGCAACGGCGAAAATCAAGTAACTCGGGAAATGACTTTCAAAATTATTCAAGCAAGCTGGTTTTCATACTTGTTTACAGTTACTGTTAGTGTTACAGCTTACGTTAAAGACGAACACGTGACGGTGCAATCAATGACAAGTAAGCGTTACTGTCCATAACAAAAAGCTTTTTTCTTTTTTTCTTTAATTGTATCTTATTAAATTATTTAATTCGTGTACCTTTTTAAAATAAACCATTTGAGACACTTAGAACATGGAACAGACATTTTAACCTATAAAATTATTTAGTCAAACAAAAGTATTTTTAATGTGAACACCGCAAAATTACTGATCAGTGACTTAGAAAATTAAACCTCATAATGTTGTTTAATTTTGGTTTTACTGGTCTAAAAACAAAACATTTGAATTAAACAGGAAAAGAATTCCGAATTCGTGTATGCTACATTTTAAAACCGAAAATTTATATTTTATCTTTCCACTTGTCATGTGATCATGGTGTAGTCACTCCCTGTCTTACCAGTTATACAGGATGCAACTGAAACACCTCCCACATAAGACACCATTGCCACTCTTACCATTATGTGGGAGGTATTTCTGCCGCACCGTGTATTTACTTTCGTAAGGATCTATTTTTTGTCAATGTGATGAGGTTTCTATTTAAGGGTTCATGAAAGAAAGACTGCGCATGTGTTTTTGTTTTTTACAATGATTTTCACTTTATACAAGGCTCAAGAGCCACTCTAGGTAGAGGGTTACATAGTTAATGTCAGTTTTATGTGGAAAATAATATTTAACTCTAGACTTGGACAGATTAAGGTTGCAGTGATCAGGGAGGCCTCCTTTTAAGAGTCAATTCCACAAAGCAATGGCATGTGTGAAGAAGCTGAGCAGGTGGAGTCTGCATCTTACCAATGTAATACAAAGGGAATGAGGGTAGTTTGCTACAATGTGCTACATGGTGGGTGTTATCTGTAAAGGTTAGAAATTGTGGAAATAAGGAATGTAGTTAATCACAACCCTTTCTATGGAAATAGAGGTTTGTGATGTTTCAGCTGTGAAAAAGGGGTTGTAGGGTGGAAAATAATTCCTTGTCCACAAGGACCCATCTGAATTTGGGGGGGCTTTTTCAAGACAGGGCAGAAGTACTCCATTTTTGTGTGTGTATAAAATATCTCAAGGAGTTGAATATCAATGCTTTGTACATTTCTTGGTCACTTAGGCAAAAGCTAAAATCTACTTAGTATGCCTGAAGACTATTATTCAAACTTTGAATATCCAAGAAAGAAAAAAAATAGAAAATCAGCTTATTTGCCATTGCATAATATTAGCTGATAAACCACAATCTAAAACAGGCTATTATTATATATTTCAGGATTATCTGCAGTTAATTATTGAAGTGTATTAAAAATTTCTTATTTCTCAAGGGACTTTTTTTTAAGCTTATGTAATGCTCTACATATAGCTTTCTTATGTAACAGTCACCAATTATGAAATTTGGTTGAAAGTCTTAACTATTCTAAAAAGAAATGAATTTGATGTATAAGTGGATTTTATATTTATATACAAAACTGTGTAAAATAGTGCAGAAGAGATAAAAATGCATTCTTAAACAAAATACTAACCTTCTACTGTTTGTGAAAAAGTAACAGACAATAAATTTCTTAGAGAATCTTGTAATGACATAAAAATTAACTGTTTATTACACGAGCCCAGTTTGTTGCAACATTGTCTCATTTGTTAAACTGGGATATGTTTTCATGTTGAAGAAAAATGTTTATGCGACACGTTATTGTAACCATATTGTTTGCAATGTGGGTTTATTAAATAGGAGATAGTGTGATGTGTTGTATGCTAGATATGGCTTGCCCAGAAGCTAAGAAGTCTTGCCAGAAGGAAGCATAAAACATTTTCTTGCTATGTCATCCTGTGGTTGAAAAGAGAGAGGTTTTGTGCCTTTTCCTTTTGTATTGCTTTATACAATGCCATCTAGCAGGTATTAAAATTTTCCTTGCAAACAAGTTGTAGTAATCTGAGACTAGGATGATCCAGGCTTTTTTTAAAGTTTTCCAGTATTTGTGGTCAGGTTCTCCTTTGCCTTGTGCTTTATAACATAATTGATAACTAATTGTCCTTTTTGGGCTTTTATATCTCTAGGGACAAGTCAGCAGTATTAAAAAAGATGAAACCAGTTTGGTGCAGTACAGTCAGATATTGAAGATGCTATTTCATTTGCCTAATGCTACAAGATAGTGATAAAGAAAAATCAGAACATTAAACTAAGAAATTCAGTCATGTTCTTAAATAACCTCATCAGATCAAAACTTTCATATGGATCACAATCATGGCACCAAACCTGTTCAGGAATATCTAAACTGTCAGCTGTATATAACCACTTTCTAAGCTCGATGATTAAAAATGGTTTCTAGCAAATGAGGCCAATGGTTTTGGTGAGATCCATCTTACAACATGAACTGGTGCTACAGCATCACAAAGAAAGAACTGTATCAAATAACAAACTACAGCACTGGAAGACTTTCAACAGAAGAAGCAACAACTAAAATAAATAGCACAGGTAACTTGAAGAGAAAATGATGACATAATCAAGATGCTGATGTTCCATACTACTTTGAACAAAAGGTTAGAAAGGAAACCCCAATCAATATTGGAAAAAAAAACAAAAGTAACTGGACTTGACTATTTTCCTGGAAACTGTTTTAATGGAAAGATTTTATAAATTCCAACTAATAGTAGCACTCGCTGTTTGGTAAAAGAATGCCAAATGTTTCCACATAAGGAAACAGATAATATTGTCATTTCAGCTATGAAAGTAGTCTATTTTGGGCTTTGCACTAGCACTCTAGATCCAGAAAAATTCACAATTGCTACCAACACTGATTAGATCTCTATGGATCATTTGAGAAATGAAGACAAATATCATTGCCTCATTTTTTTTGTACAATATGGAAAACTACTTTGCTTTTGTATATATGACCATTATATAGGATTTGAGGTGGCATAAATTCACATTAACTCTTTCTATGCTAAAATCCCGCCTTTAAATTTTTCAGTTAAAATGAAAGCAATAAATTAATTTCAATAATAGACTTCTTACAAGGGGATACTGAAAAGCTCTCAGCTCAACCCACTTCACAAAAGTTGACCAAATACTGGAATTATTTTTTGAAGGGCTTCTTTTCAACAGCCTCTCCTAATTTGCATACATTAAACTATTTCTAATAAAAATATGTTAATAATACCAATTGTTATATAATATCACTATTAAGATATTTTTGTCCAATTCCTAAAATATCTTTGTTTAAAACACATTGGATCTAAAGAATAGTGCTTAATGAAGGTTTCATAAATTAGTAATATAAAAGCACATTCAATTTTAAAAACAGTGGTCACTGAAGGTCTCCAAAACTTATTAATATAAAAATACATTCAAATTGTTTGTGTAAAATCTGAACTGAAAAAATTAATAATTGGTGCATATCATTTTAACAAAAAAAAAAACTCTATTTACTTTGGTACAGGAGAATAGTCACTGGTGTGATGATTGGTCAAAAAAGGCTATTTCAAGCTTGACCCAAGTGGAAATGAAATCCATGGTATATTTGTAGGATCCACAAAAATTTCTAAAAATTTTACTTAATAGATAATTGCTTACATATAAAATATGTAATTATACATGTTCCAAGAAATTAAACAATTTCTCAGTTTAAGAAAGAATCAGAACACATGAACTTATATCTATTATCAAGCTATGAAAAACTGAAACATTTTTATTTTAATTTATTCAAACTATTGTTCTATTCTTTGGGTATTATAGATATTTCAACCAAGTAAACTTGGCCCATCTTCAAGTGTCCTTTTTATGATAGGGGATATCTTCTAGGAGTTGATGCTGTTACTTACTCATTCCTGCTGGATGAAGATTGAACCCATGACCATTAGGTGACAGAAACACTCAATTAATCCATGTCATATCCTCTGTGCCAGTATTTACAGCCATATCACATTGAAACACCAGTTCCCATACAATCACCAAAATTAAGCAATGTCAAGCTTGGTGAGTACCTAGATGGGTGAGAATTTTGGAATACTAGGTGCTGTAAGCTTGGATGTGCAGGTGGTGTAATGGATAATGGCTTGAAATTGTTAATGGGAGAGCAGAGGTCCAATTCTAGTTGGCTTTATCTTCACTTACAGGCAAATACCTTTGGGAAAGATATGAATCTACCTCTTCTCCCACCAGCTATGGGTTAATTAGTAAGATTTGTATCACTAAATCATTATCTTCCTGCCCCCAATACCTTAGAATCGTAAAAAAAAAAAAATGACTTTAAATAACCTGCAAAGGGTTGATAAGCCATAGAAACCAAATCAAACAATAAAAAAAGTCCTATGCCATTAAAGTACATCAGTGAGTGATGTATTTGAAAATCTTTTAAATCCAGCATCTAATAGTTTCAACAATTTGCTGTCATACTTGATAATGTTGTTTAATTTTTGAGATGTGGAAGTGTCTTTATCTTTTCTGTCTGAATTATTTGCATTATTTACAGTTTGACTGCTGTCTTCATCATTGTTGTTATCACAATGTTTTGTCTGTTGTGCTTGCCAGCCTACTTCAGGTGTCTGTCAACCAAAGTAATCTTCAGGGAATTTCAAGCTGAACCCTTTATTTAATCACTTAGTGGGTTAAAGTACAGGTCCATGTATTTGGTAACAGTAATTGTGAGTTCAATCACTGGGCCAGGTAACACAAACTGAAACTCAGTGTAAACTGGGCAAGCAATAATTGAACAGTACTAAATAAATAGACAAGATATTCCTAGATATGCGCAGTGGAATGGGAACAATCTACTGTATATTAAATAAAGGGTTCAGTTCAAACTTCCTTGAAGATTACCCAGATCCACAAAGTGCATAATGGCTAAAATGTGATAACAACAAAGATAAATAATGTAAACATTGATATGATTTGTTTGAAGTATTGTTCCTATCTTTGGTTGTTATGGAACTTTAATATTTCAAACTTGCTAACAAAACAATAATGTTAGGAAACAGTAGGAGTGTATGATAATCCTAACCCAAATAAAAGCTTTTGTTTGCATTGGGAAAAAATGTTTCTTCTACTGGGCTCATGAAAATATGAGCAATCTTGAACCTTTGAGCCCATAAAAAAAATGAAGTGTCAGAAGGATGGTTTTACCCTTGACACCACCATTATTTTAACTACCTTCACCCCTCAAGAATGTCTGTTTTAAAAAGCAATGATTTGAATTGTAATAAAACCTAAATATATGAAAGTGAGTTTATACATTTTTTGTTCTTGAGAATTTCCAATAAAAATATTAAATCCTATTTATTTATTAGAATGTTTATTTACAAGAATAATTTTATATTTACAGCATTCTAAAAACCAATAGAATTGTATTAAAACTAATGCAATATTTATCCTTTACCAATTTAGAAAGAAATAAACAAAAAATTTGTTAATAAATTTATAAACATTTACTAAATTATTAAAATGTGAACCAACTATAAATAAATCCTTATTTACTAATTTATAAAGCTTGAATCAATTGGCAATTAGCCAATGTCTTATCAACCATTCCAATAAACAACCTAATAAAGTGTTATTTCTGTTGTAAATTCTCAAGAACAAAGAAAATGTATAAATTCCTTTTCATATAATTAGGTTTTATTACAATTCTAATCACCGCTTTTTAAAACAAGTATTGCTGAGGAGTGAAGGTAGTTAAAATAATAGCAGTATCAGGGTAGGGGGGGTACATCCTTTTAACACTCCATTTTTTTTACAGGCAAAAAGGTCCAAGATTGCCAAAATGCTAGATCCTTTACACAACAAACATAAATATGTATATTCTTTATGCAATCTGTTACTGGGCCAATATTTGTGTATATGCATGTGTTTATTACTTCAAACATTATTATAGTGGACACTTAGTATTTAAAATAGATGCCCCATTTTTATTTGTTAAACAGTGTGTATTACATCTACAGACCTGTGCATTCAAGAAATCTTAGTAAAGAAAATATGTCCTCCATAGGGGAAATATGTGTTTGTATGCACATACATCACAGCCAAAAGGGTAAGATCTAGAGATTCAGGTTCTTGGATGGAGAAGCACAAGACCACAAGATATAACACTGGCTTTGTGGGGTTGACTTCAGATTACCAGAAGTCAACAAAGAGTACAGTGTACCATTTCTCACAAAATTAACTGACATATTGAGTTTGTTAGGAATTACAAAAATATGTTTTTGATCTCTATCACCAGAGATAAAAATTTAGTTATGATCAGCTTAGCCATTACATTCATGAAATAATTTGGGCAGAAAAAAATTATGATAGGTTGTGCTAAATTTTTTTATTAAAATATCTTTGTTTTTTTCCTGCAATTTTTTTTTTCATCTATACAGCAATACATTATCTGCAAATTATTATGGTAAATGTCTTTCAAGTATATTAACATGTATGAAATCTGATTTCTTTGTTTTGTATAATGACATGGAAAATTTCAGGCTGGTGTAATCTTTTATTCACCACCCACAGGGCAAACTTGGAACTTTGTGTCCACAATAATAAACACTATTTATTTATTAGATTCTTTATTTACAAGAATAATTTTATATTTACAACATTCTAAAAACTAATACAACTAATGCAATATTTATCATTTACTAATTTATAAAAAATAAATAAATATAAAAACTATTTTTTATTCATAAATTTATAAACATTTAATAAATCATTAAAATGTAATCCTTATTTACCATTTTATAAAGTTCAAATTTATTGACAATTAGTCAATGTTTTGCCAACCATTCCAATAAATAATATAATAGTGTAAGTAAGCAATCTAATAAATAAATAATTTCATCATATGTCTAGATTTTATTACAATTCTAACCATAACTTTTTAAAATAAACATTGTTGAGGAGTGAAGGTAGTTAAAATAAGTGTCGATGGAAAAATCCTCCTTCGACAATGTTTTTTTTTTTTTTTTTGCAGGCACAAAGGTTCAAGTTTGTCCCCTGCAGTATCCAAATTCAATGCATGGTCATTTTTTTCTTCTTGTCATAGGTTTAATCTGACATTTTTCTTCTATAAATTGTGACCATTTTGCTTAAAGCTCATATTTTCTTGATTTCAAATAAAAAGTTGGACACTTTCTAGTATATTTCAGTGAATTTCTGGGATGAGAAATTATCATTATTTACACTATTTACATGCAGGCTATTGTTATTGCAGTAACAACAAAGGTGTAAATAATGTGAATAATTTTAACTCCTCATCCCAGAAATTCAGATAGAAGGCAAATCAGGTGATAACAAAGATGACAACAATAGTCCACATGTAAATAATGTAGATATTTCAGTGAAATTTTCTTTTTCCAAAGTTATAGTTTACGATTTAGATATATGAAGGTGTCATTTTAAACTCATGCCAGGAAGATATGGATTTATTTGGGATAACACATATTCATTCAATACAACTTACAATCCAAGATTGCATTTTATGGTAGGTCACTCAGAAAATACCTACCTACCTACCTACCTACCTACCTACTTCCCTTGACAATTGCTGCAGATATTGAAATGTATTCCTAACTCCATTTCTCTTATTGTAAATGGTAGGTGTTGTCTGAAGGATAATTCCTTTAATTAATTTTTGGTTTTCAATGCTGAAAGATCAGAAATGCTGAAGTTAATGTGGCAATGGTCATTAGAATGGAAAATGAAATTGGCAAAACAAGTTCAAATCCCAACCAATACTGCTTGTATTCAATTTTACACTAATATTCTTACTAAGGCATTAACCTATTCTGACCTCTGAACTTTGCTGTGTACCAAAAATTCCATCGCAGGCTTTTTTATTTTTTCTTGTATGTTTACTAAATAGGCTACATTACACAACTGCTTGATATGATGCAAAAAAAATTTTGAAAAAAATTAATTGAAATATTTGCCTTTCTGAGTATTACAAGGGTTTCTACTAGACCTGTTTATTATTTGCTATTTCTTCACTCATAATTGATGTCGAATATAAAAAATACAAGTTTTTCTATTTTTATTTTCTTTTTATCTGGAGGGTCAGCATCAGCCATGCTGATGGAAGGCAGAGAGGGGTCTCTCAGATGATTAATGGAGAGAAGTTTACTTTTGGAGGTGTTAAAATTAACAAGCCATTTTGCCCCTGTTAACAACAGACTTGAGGTATATAATTTTGAGGTGTTTATATCAATATTTTTATTTGGTCCTGCAATACCTGTTTATTTCAAGCAGAGCAACACTGAACATGATTTATTGGCAAGTCTTGAAATTACAATGGGACTTTTTTTTTTTTCTTTTAAATATATATTTTCTATTCGTGCATATGACATTTGGCAAGTACCATTATTACTAATGGAGCGGGGAGAGCAAGCATTGCATGGGATGAACTCTTTACATGTTCATTTCTCTGAATGGTAAATAAAGCACAGGTATTGTTCTACAACAGGGAAGAACAGCCTGATGCAGAGGAGGAGAAATCCCTTTTCCTATCAAACTTTGGTATATAAAAGAGTGTCTTATATATGATCTACCAAGAGGTAATGATGAAGCAGAAAGTTTTTCAATGCTTTGAGATCTTTAACAAATTTGTATCCAGATTTATGGAAAGTATATGCATTACAAAATGAAGCCTTTACTCAGATCAAATTGTTATGTATTACAGGAAGAAATCTACATCTCTCTATCTGCCTTGTCCCTTAAGCAGGACCAGGGCAACGGTCTTGTTCCCTCCTCAAATGAGGCAAACCTCTTTACTACATCTCAATTTTCATAAGGTACTATTCATATAAAATAAAAATTTTATTGTAACCTAATTATCTACAATAACAGATCATATGCAATATAGAACAATTCAACTAGAAAAATTGAAAATAAATACAAAATATCTAAATACAAATTAAAGACATCATAAAAGATCATTCCATCTCAAATAAATTAATAAGGTTTTGCAGCAATTTTTAACATCAACTTGAGATTTTTCTTGTTAAAAATTTGACTTTTAACACATTCTATATTATGAATAGTGAATTTT